GGGGGGGGGGAATGTTTCCAAAGCACAGGGAAGAACAACCTGGATAAGAGCAGTGGCAGTAATAATTCTCGGTGAAAATATTGGAGGAGAATATGGGATATTAAAATAATAGCCATAGCCAGTACGCTCCCCAGATGCTTCCGGTCAGAAGGGAAGAAAGGCAGGAATGGGCTAAAACACGGGGAAGGGAGATACCGCGAGGTCCTGGAAAAAATACAGCAGAGCCAGATTTAACTAGGCGAGAGGGGAAATGACCCCCTGAGAAAACGAGGGAATTTCTCCCCTGTAGACCGACTGCCTTTTTTGCAAAACGAGTCGGCCCAACTTTGGTTTGTCGTTATCTGTCGTTGCTGGAATCCTTCCTCATTTTCCCAGCCTTTTCTGCTCTTCTCCCTCCTGTTTTGACTCCGGTAGAGACGAGACCCCAGTCAGGCAGGGACGCGTTGGAAAAAAAAGCGGAAAAGATGGTGTCTTCGTAAGCCAGGTCATTTTTTTTGAGAGGAAAGAGACGGTGGTCTGTCTTTCCTTCAGAAACACTCAACTTTCCTAAAACAGAGAGGCAGGAGCCAGAAATGAGCAACAGCGGTCTCCCCTTGTTGGTTTTGTTTCGGGCTTTTTTTTTTTTTAAGTGGGACCCTCTACTCCTCTACCCACGGTGATATTAAAAACAGGGCCAGAAGTTTGCAAAATTGAGGAAAATGCATTTGGCGGGGTGGGCGCGGGGGGCGGTGGAGACCGTGCCGGGAGCAGGTCGAGGAAAGCGCGGATCCTCCCGAAGAGGGAAGGGAGGCTGCTTGGGGCGGCTGCTCTTTGGAACTTAACCGCCCAACGACCGGGGGAAAGAATGGAGATGCTCAAAACTGGGGGAGGTCTTTAGTGTACGCGGTCCGCGCTCCGGGCCTCCCCAGTGTCTGGGACAGCGGGTCCCGGAAGCCGCGGCTGCGGGATCCTTTGCGAGCGCGTCCGAGGGGCTGCGGGGACCCACGCCGGGAACGCGGGGGAAGGGACCCACAAGGAAAGGAGCTCTCGCCCAGCTCAGAGCTTCGCCTTCTCCTCCCAGCTCCGGCGGGGCCCAGGCCTCCGTTTCCGGCCCATCTAAGCCTGGAGATCAAATGGGAACCCATCCGCAGGCCTCGGGCGAAGGGTTTCGGCTTGCACTCTGGGCAACTGGGAGCCAACGCTTCGCCCCCAAGGGCCTCGGACTGGGGAAAAGAGAATAGCTAGTAACCTGGGAAACGAAAGAGAATCTGGGGGAAGTCACTGCGGCCTGGCCCAGAGGAGAGACGCGGGTCCTGCTGGCTGGATACAGCTGAGTCTGCGGCCCGGCCGGCCCCGGGCGCCCGCGTCCAGCGCTGGAAACCACGGCCCGTTCTCCCCGCGGGCCTGACCTTAGCTCCCGGGGCCGCTCGGTCAGCTGCGTTCCTGACTTTTCGCTGCCGCTCCAGCCCCAGACGGACCGGACTTGGAGACAGGCCGCGCTTCGGAAAGCCAGGGGGGCTAGGGGCCAGCGAAACGCGGGATGGAACCCCCGAAGCTGGGGGCAAGGCCAGATCCCGACATCCGCTTCCCTCTGGGCCCCTTGGCGGGGAGCTTACCCTTGCGGAAGGCCCGACGCTCGCTCGCTCGCTCCCGGGCAGGCCTAGCTCTTCCCTCGGCGCCGCCGGGGGCGTCTACGCAGTACGTTTCCCAACTGCACCCAGCGCGTTTCCAGCTGCGCGCGAAAGCTCGAGCGCATATCCCTCCACGGGGCGCTTAGGAGTTATGCCCATTGAGGAGACCAAGAATAATGATAATCGTTATTCCAGAACAAGACAGAGCGCCTCACCCTTTGCAGGCCCTGTCGCTGTACTTTTTCTGTGCAGAAATCACCCCCTCTACCCCGACCCCTGCACCTACTCGCACCCCGCCCCCGCCGGGCCGCGCTGGGACGAGTTGCGTCCCCGGACCCGGCTAGAGGTGCTCCCGCAGAATGGACTTTTTCTCAGTAAGATACATTGTGGACGACCCTCTTTCTTCCCTCCAACGCCCTGGTCTCATTTCCCCTGCGCGATAACCCGGTAATTACTTGTATGCAGGTCTGCGAGCAGGCACTGAGTTATCGCGTCCCAAACATAACCAGCTAGAGCGGCGCCTGGATATTCGTTTGCCGAGAGCTCCTCCTCGGAAAAAAATAATTTTTAAATAATAAGAGGACTCTCGTGCCTCCTCCAAGGGACTTCGTTCCACCTCGGAACAATTTGATTTCTTCCCAATCGTGGGCTGAGATTGGCTCCCACCTCCCTTCGCCAAGAGCCCCCCTCCCCCTCCCTAAGAAAATCGATCTCGGTTCTATTTGTGCCTGATGTTCGCCACCCCCATTTCCCCCAGAGAGCGCTGGGTTTGTTTATTTCTTTATTTATTCCCGCGGCCCAGGCGTCTGGGACTTGTGGCTGCTCAGACCCGGGGCTGATAGGCGAAGACGGACAGAAATTAACCTCCCGCCGCTGCCCCCCAGTCGAGCGTGACAGCGCGCGCGGGCCGGTTGCGTGACTCGTGACGTCTCCAAGTCCTATAGGTGCAGCGGCTGGTGAGATAGTCCGTATCGCCTGGTTGCCTCTTTATTTTATTGGGGTATGCCTGGTAATAAATAGTAATATTTAATTTGTCGAAGACCACAAACCAGCCTCGAGCTGGGAGGTACCTAGTACTCTTGACAGACGCTGGAAGAAGGCTTGGCCTAAAAGGGGTCTCTTTTGGGGGTCCTTTGCAAAGTCTTCACCTGAACCCCCCCACTCCCCAGCAAGGCGCCACTGCTGGCTTCTGCGCTGGAAAGAAGAGGTGGGATTTTTGGAGGTGAGTGTCCCCTTGGACAGCTATGGGGGGGGGTAGGTTTCTCTCAGCACCTGACCTGCCTCCGGCCCCCTGCCTTCCCGCCCCAACTCAGCCCTGCTGAACCCCCCTCCCAGAGATGCTGTTTTTCACCGTGGAAATGAGAATGCACTCTTTGCATTTCGCCTTGGAGTGTCACCTGGCAAGAACAGATTCCCTTTGGAGGTTTCAAAATCCCAGTTTCTCTTGGTGGCCAGCACAAACTGCACTCCACCGACTAAGTGAGTCTGGCTAGGCAGTTACTTGGGGGAGTTCAGATTTGCCCTCCCGGGAGGGGCCTCCGAATTATTTATGGGAAATTCTTTTATCCGCAAATCTCTGAGAATTTAAAGGGATTGGAGAGGTCTTTCTAGATTTCCCCTTCCTTTTGCCAGAGATGCGGAGATTTAGGCTCATCCTGAAACCACGTTTGTTTTCCATCTTTGGCCAGGGGTCCCCTCCTTAGCAAGCCCAAAGTCCTCTGAGCTGACATTTTGGAAGGGTGAGGGTGTGTTTATAAATAAATAAACCGCCTTGGTGAAAGGTTGTTTGCAAACAAACCTGGAAGGCGGAGTGAGAACCGTAGCAAATGCTGGGCTTGGTCCTTCTCTCCCCCCCACCCAACCCCTTGTAGCCCCACTTTTAGGGATGGACAGTCCACTTTGTAATCTGGCAACGATGTGTTACACCCAGATGGCCGCTGATCTCTCCAGGGCATTTCTCCCCTCTCGGTGCCTTTCCCCAGACCTTGGCCTGCAGGCCCAAGTCTCGAACCAGAGCCCCCAGAAAAGAATAAGGCGAGGGGGTACAGGAGACGAGGGTGGGAAACTAAGGGAACCCTGACATTTATTCGGAGCCTCAATGGTTGGTGCTCCAGACTGGGTCTGCTCAGGCTAAGACCTGCTCGCTGTGTTTACGCTTCTATTGACCTCTTCAACCCTCAAAATAATACATTTCAGAGACGGGGAGGGCAGGGAGAGGGGCCCAGTGGAGATGAAAACCCCAGCCAGTCTCCAATGACTGTTTGATTATTTTAATAAAACTGGGTACTGCCGCGTACATCTCCAGCCCGGGAGGTCTGGTGGCCCCGGGGGTGGGAGCCCCAGGCAATTTCTTGGCATCTTTGATCTCAGTCCCCATCCCCAATGCACCTTCACCCTGCCTTCACCCTGGAGTCGCTGAGAGCCCGGGTGGTGAGTGGGGAGGGGGAGAGATGTCAGGGCGGCCGTCGGCGGCCAGCCGGGCCAGGCGGGGTCATGCAGCTCTGTCTTGAGGTCAGCGTTGGAGGGAGAACGCGGGCCAGGCTTCAGAGGAGGCGCAAGGCGTGTGTGTGTGTGTGTGTGTGTGTGT